TTGTTGATTGTAGTATTGAAAACAAAAATAGGATGTATTTATTAGATGTTAGTAAAAATAGTAATAATATTTTATATGTTTGACATTATCCATCCACACTTTCAGTGTTCATTTATTAAGTCGTATATATAACAGTTTCGATCGTTTTTCATTTATATAGTCGACTATAGTTATACACTAAAAGGATTCTATTTTAAGCCTTAGCATTTACTATGTTTGTTTTTCTCAGCCATCATATTCTTCTAGTTTGTCTATACTGAACATAGCAGATAGTTCAAAACAAAGCTTTATACATTTAGAATGAAATCCTTGATGAAATGTCATTCTAATATATATATCGCTCTCTTTTATTAAATGACCAGGAAAGGTTTAGGTGGAATTATTGTGTACGATGCATTAAGAGAATATTGTAAATTTTATGAATTGTTTAAACCCGATTTTATTTGTTGAAATAATAAAAACATTGAGATTGGTTTCAATGAAAGCTTACAGAAACTTTTATTTCATTTAGTTATTCATCCGTTAATCGTTAATTACTATTTCACAAGATGATCATTTGTAATTTACACAGAATAATAAAATAAAACGTTCATGTTGACTTTAGGGAACTAGTTATTATCAATGTGAACAGTTTAAAGTTGAGGAATAGAAAGTGAGCAGAATTTATTTATTTACTGTAACGAACGAACTCATAAGTATTACATTCAAAGTGTGCAAAACCTGCTCATTGGTTATTACCTTTAAGGTAGGGTTTTCTGCTGTACTCATCAGGAGTCATAACGTCAAACGTTGATCAACTAGGCGCTGTGATATTAACTCATCGATGACAGTGAAGAAACGTAGCATTGTAGTGGAACGCTTCTACGAAGAAAATACGATTTGTGAAAAATAAACATTATTGTACTTGTTTTGTTTAACTGTACCAAAAACACTTGTTCCACTTCTTGCGCGCAACGTTCTCTTTGCGTTGCTGCCATTTTTCTTTATTTGCTGTTCCCGATGTAATGCCTAATTTCTCCTTCAATAAAACCTTGGAACATGGATTTGTTTTGATATGAATGACGGGACTGTACGGAACATTTAGTAGTGATCATAGTCAATCTGGTGTCTTGACTCGCTCACTAAAGCATTATCTTTGGAATTTTATTGGAGTTAAAAAAAAAAGTGTGAATCATTGAATTCTGAACTAATGTTGATTTGATCAACTGTGAAGTAGTCAGTTTGCACAGATAATCAGTTATTAGGCACATCCAAATACTTTTCATAATGTCCAATTTGATAAATTGTATTGTTATCACATAAAGTAATTGTTTTTAATCAATGAGTATTTTAGAGTTTTTAACGAATAGCTCTAACCTGTTTATGGTAATGTGTTTCTTCGAAATACCAATTTATCACGTGAGATGATGGCGCTTACAAAAAGGTTTTGCAAGAGTGAACCCTTAGTTGTATAATTCATCTATCTATTTCTGAACTAGCAACATTGAGTTAGAATCTGCACATCTAAACTTCACATTTCAATAATCACAATAAATAATGTTTCATGGTCACTACACACAATTTCATTAGTAATACTAATCTCACATTATATAACTAAAAGTATTTTTTTTTTTACTAAACATCATGAAGTTGTTTTTGTATTGTTATGCAAAAATGTGTGTGAAAAGTTATTCATATCCACTTTTGATCGATAAAAATGAACTATTTTACGAACATAGATATCAGTTATGTTTTTAGTTGACACAATGAAAATATTCAGCTTTATAAATATTTATTCGTAAAAAATCTTCCTACAATGAATTTGGTTTGGATGAATTACTGAGGGAGGTCTTTGACAAATAATAACACTATGAAATAATGTAATCTTTGATAAATAACTGGAAAAAATAATACATAGTTTTAAATTCACTGCTTTCTAGTTTTCAGTCTTAAAAAAAAATTATCTGAAACTAAATTAAATTTGGAAATAGAAATGAAATATAAAACTTAATTAATTTTCATTAAAAATGATTTCTAGTTGTTTGTAACATTTTGAAATGTATTTGAATGCTAAGTTGCCTTTACTGTCAATTGTCGATTTATGATGGCCGATTTCAACATGTTCTTAAGCTTCGTGATTAGCTCGTCAAGACAATCGTTACTAAATAGCTTCTGACGGTTTATAAATCAGAAGGTGAACTCGAAGTGTTGAATACGTTTATTTTTGGCACACCACAAAAATGGGATAGCAGACAGACCACAAGTAGACCGGGCAGGCACACTAGCGAGCCAATGGGCGAATGTGCGAATAAGATTAAAATGTTCCTACATATACACAGAAAAATGTCTGAGTCATCGTGATATTCAACAGATTAATATTAAAGCGAAAAAGGATGAGTAAGCGCGTGAGCGTAAGCAATGCTCAGTCGTACCAGCTCATACAAACAAGACAATAAAAAATATCAATGGTCTACATATGAGTTGTTGCTATACAAATAGCTTGGTTACATAAGTTAATCGAAAAGACTTAGTCAAATTAAATATGAGCGAACTCAACTTATGTAGAGACACTACAGATTTAGCTTGAAATGAATACGTTTGGTTTGTATTGTATCGTAAGTAACGTTTATTTTAATTGTTGATATTCATTAAATATCCTAAGATAGTTATTTTTGTAAGTCTAATTCTATTGGTCAATATCATGTTCATCCCAGCTATCAATGTCACGTACTTCAATGTTGTTTCCTATTCTCATTATCTGTGACGTTTTATTACCCGGATCCGGATCCCTTAGTCCCGGACCCTGATTCTCTTCTGGACTCGGACCTCGTACTTTCTGGATGTTTGTTGAATACATATTCTACTTCACATCAAGTCTACTTCTTTTACTCAATGGGGGTTTAGGACACTCGGATTAGAGTAGCCTGTTGTGTCGCCGGATTGTCGATCGTCACTCTCGTTTTCCGACTAAGGTAAATTCGTAATAGTTCAGTCATATCGATTGATGTGTTTACGTGCGAACGTGCAATCTGTTTTATTTAGTTACACCGATATACACCTAGATATTTGAGTATTATAATGGAACTGATGCTGATTTATGCAGTACATCAAGTGATTGATTGTATTTTAGAGGATTGAATTTTGTTTGCTTATGTTCCATCCAAACATGCTTCTAACATTGTATTTGTACAAGAAAAGACTGAGTAACTCACATTGTACTGTCTTAGATAGTGATAATGATAACTGAGCTATTATATCTATGTTAAGTTTAATTGCTAATCATCAAATCGCTGTTATTTTCCATACAGAATCGCGTACACAGGTTATTCATTACATTAAAGCATCAGTAATGAAGTACCTGTAAGTTAGACATCAACTAACAGGTTAGTGGAATCAAACAATTGTTTCAATCAGATGAACTTTTTTCAATTGATGCAAAGAAATACACATACTGAAATCAAATGACATCTTCCATGTAGAACATGGAAAATATGTACATAAGTATATAAAAATGTTTATATAGGCTTGTTAAGATTTCAAAAGAAAACACTATTGCTAATCAAAAAGATGACCAAAAATGTATTCCATATGTTCATTATTATTTCCGAAACGATACATTAAATCATCCAAGGTGGAGAAATAACAATCCGCCATATTTATAAACAATGTTTTGAGTAAATTTCACTCAAACAATATCTGTGGGAGTTAGAAGGTCTTCATTTAGAAGAGTTATGATGTCTCATGATGAAAACCGAGTTCTTTCGGAAGTCATGAGGACGATGCCCTTTCTGACAACCACAACCCTTCTTTGGTGTGGGCAGCCGGGAAGTAATATCCGCTCTCATACCCATAAAAGCATACAAGACAAAATCAGTCACAGTCGAATCATTTCCACATCTCCTAATAACTGTCTTATCTCCTCGACCAACTCTTCCTTCGATAGTTTGTTACCTTGCGCCACTGGAGCAAACGGTTTGAAGTCACAAGACGTTATTCCTGGTCTCCAGAAAACCCCATACTAAATTACATATTGGAGCATGAATAATATCTTTGAACCCTAATGTCTCCAATTACCGCTAATCCCTTTACTACCTCTACTACTATGGGATTTGAATAGACAATTACATCTCTGTGTTAATGTGGTATGCCAACTTGAACTGGTGTACGTACGTACGTACGTACGAAGTTCTACGTTGCTGTTGGTTGATTGATTGATTGAAATATGGTGAAATTATCACAATTATGTTCATTATTTAAATGAATCTTTTTGATTTGATCAAGGTGAGTGGTGTTAAAAAAATATTAAGTGATGATTATTAGGTAAGGCTTATCATATTTCACGTGATATTTCAGTATCTTGCATATTCAAAGTTTAAATAACTTAAACGAGATCAATCTGTCAAACAGAAAACAGACATTTTTGTATCTTATTTGTTATATAATTTTGCAAGACAGTAAAAACAAATCGTTTCACTGTTTGTCAACAAAGCTTACTGAGATGTAAATCACTATTCAATTCAAATCAATAGATGCACTTCGCTTAGTGAAGTCTTTCAAAAATTACTTAATCAATAAATGAAGAATTGTTCAGCTCCTTATTTCACTGCCTGAAACTTGACTTACTGATCTTGAAGTTAAGCGGATGTGACTAAACGTGGCATATAATATCATATTGCAATTGTTATTAAATAAACTTGAGTGAGTTTAGGTGCTGAACAAGTTTTCTGCACTAATTTTCATAACTTGTGTGCAGATAAGCTTCTCTTTGCACTGTCATTCACTATTACCAATGAAATGTTATCATAAAGACTTTTAATGACAAAACTTGTTCAGTTTTACTATTAGGTTCATAATATTATTATAAATTATTTTTGATTTGCTGTCTAGGTAAGCGAATCCTTCTGAAAGTTAAGTGAAGTGTTGAATGTGAATCATGCAGTGTATTTCAAAAATCATTATAATGATGATTCAGATTCACTTAAACCACAAACAGAAACAATTATTAACTTTGTATTGCTTACTTTGTTCACAAATGGTGGACATCCATATTCTGCTCCACCATAAAATGAAAATCCCCAATGACGTTCACTGTTTGGACGTCGTAGAAATATTGTAAATGACGGTCCACTTTGTTCAGATATCACTTGTGATCCAATATGAATTGTATTTCTTGTCGGACTCATAGGTTCTTCTCTTGGTGAATATGCTCTACGGACAGGATAATGCATTGTTGAATTCAAATTCGAATGAGAAGTTGTTTGATTATGATTAGATAAAGTTACTGAACTTTGGTATATTGGTCTAATAGGACGAGATCTAGAATTCGATGAATTTTTTTGTATAATTGTAAGTGTTGGAGATGTCGATGAAACTGGTAATGTTCTGCCTGTATCATTTAATAATGTTTTATTATAAAAAGCTGGTACAGGACTATGTTTAGTTTGTTGTGAATATTGAACATTGTTCTGTGATTCATCAGTTAATTTCAATGTTTCTACTTGTTCTTGAACAAAATTCACTATATCATTAGCTTGAGAATTCATAGCTGGAACTTCATTGTAAATAAGACGACTTTGTGAATTGGAATTTTCCAATCTACTAGTGATATTTTCCGGTAATACTTCTTCATATTGAAATTGTTCATTTTTCATTTCTGTTTTTGTTTCAATAGATTTATTGTCATTTTCCAGTTCTGGTTCAAATTCATATTGAACTGAACTTTCTCGATCATTTAATCTCATATCTAAATTATGCGCTTCATTAATTTCTTCTTTCACTTGTAGTTCTTCTTCAGCTAATTCTTCATCTTTCACAGAACTATGATCACTTGAATGATCAAATAATGTTTGATCTATAGATTCCGGTGTTACTGGTCGATTATTCATTGTATTTGCATTCGATTGTTTCATAGTATTTCCACTAGTTTTATCACGAATAATCTCTTTCATTTTCATTTCTTGTAGAATATCTTTCATTTTCTCTTGAAAAACTTCTTTATCATTTTTTATACTACCACTTGATTGAAAAGCATAATCATGTTGTTCATAGTCTTCCAGTTCGTCTACATCATCTTCAACAATTTGTGCATCTTCATCTATATTATGATTAATTAACGGTGACGATTGTTGAGTATCTTCCATTTCTGTATTATCAACAATATAATCTTCCACTGAATCTATTTGATCACCTTCAAAAGTTGTTGTATGTGTTGTAGTTTCTTTGAAATGTTCATGGATCAGTTCATCTGTCTGCTTGATATCAGTCATTTTGCCATTAGTTAAACATAAATGTGATTCAAGACTTTTAGGAAATTTTTCTGGAAATAAAAGTATTCGAACAAATGTACATAATGCTTTGAAAGTTGAAATTTTCGCTAAATTCAATGTTGCACCAAATCAGGTAAACTCAATACCTGAAATTTGACAATGTATGAAACAATGTCATTTTTATCTAGTTTTTTTTCTCTAGATGTTAAAGGACAAAGTGGATACACTAACACACTCTTGTATATACGAGAAAAAAAATGTTTGTATACAATCAATGTGATATATGGCTGATACAAAACGAGTTGTTAACTTTGTTTACAAGTAAGATAATAATGTTCGAAATTACTAGATATGAATGAAACGAAAGTCACTGTTGAAATTGTTAGAAATTAATGTATAATGGCAATGTTTTCATAACATTCACTGAATAATATAAATCATTTAATAAGTGTATTCAACGATGAACAGCTTTCTCTTTGATATATATATATATATATATATATATATATATATATATATATATGCGTGCACAAATGTTAGATTTTCATGCCTCTTCTTTCTATCTCTTTTAACTTAATTATCAATTAGTGTGGATCGCACCAATAGGAAGTAAAAACCTTGACCAGTTGTTATATTATCAGTTTAGGATAGAAATGAAGATGGATTTTACCAATCACCTGATTGTGACCCACGAACTATGATCAATAGACTCAAGGTCATTGGAAATGTGTTTCAGTGTGCTTCTTCTACTTATTGACAGATACAAACATGAAGAATGTGATGAAACATGATAGAAAAAGAATTACAAGGAAGAAGGATTTTAAAGAAATCGGACAATTCAACGCTTATGTTACATATCAGATTGTCAAAAAAAAATATAACGATAAATTTAGTGTTAATGAATTTTATTGACTGCTTTTTGTTCAGTCAACTGTATCATAACTCCATACATTAATATTAGTCCTAGCTTCTTTTAAGCCTATGACTAACAGTAGTTTATTGCCCTGTGTGCTTTAGTTGGAAGTGTTGTTCATTTTTCACATCAATAGGGAATTATATGCATTCAAGATGGTCAAACAGATTCCAAAGTTTTCAACGATGATTATCAACACTGTTGTGGACGCATCCAGTAATAGACATACGATGACATCGTAGCTTTCATATTTAGTGCCGAAAACTATACGGAGAAAGTTCCGGAGGCTGCCATTGTACAAAGTTGTGTCCGCCGTTTTCTTGAAAATGCAAACCATGGGTGGAAACACGTGTAAGGCAACGACATATCGCGTATGAAGTAAAGGTGGAGAGAGACAAGTAGACACGGCATCGACAGCGGCGACAAGCGACTGGGATGCAGGTGGAACATAGTATTATACACTTTTAAAAAGGGGAGGTGTTGGGGATGCTCGATCTTCAGAAATCGCTTAGTGATCCTCTTAATTTCTAGTTTATCTTTGGAAAGTTAAGTTTGTTATTTTCATCCCGAAGAGCCCATTATTACTTTCGATTTGTGTTTCCCACTTGGGAGGACCTTAAATATCATTAGTTAGTTTTCTTTTTCAGTGTGACATTTTGTTACTCTTCCTAGAACTCCTTTTGCACTGTATATATTACGCTTGAATTAAGTACTTGTTAATTTGTTCGCAGGCAGCTGCTCGTGGATTATAAAATCTTGCTGCTGACCTTGGACTTCTCATTCTAGTTAGCTGGATTGGGGAGCAGTGAATAGCCTACTAGTCCTGTTATCGTATCACCGTTTATGCGATTAGTTCGCCTATGTTAAATCATCACTGAATTCCAAAAGATAGGATAATTCTTTTAGTTATATATATATATATATATATATATATATATATATATATATATATATATATATATATATATATATATATATATATATATATATATATATATAATGTGGGTATACTATGAGACAGTTTTCGCTTCAATGCGAATTACCTGTGTTCGCATTCACAGAAATTCAATAATAAAATGTTTTAATGATGAATACGCCGCAATTAAAGGTAGAAATCATTAATATTTGTATTATTATTGGTGTGTTTAGATAAAATTGTCTTTTTTTAAAATCTATCTTACTTTAAGTATAGAAAAAAAACCAACTAATGTGTTAATTTATTGGAAAATGGTTATTAACTTAATCATAATTGCTTATCTATCTTACTGAACTTATGAACCGATCAATGTTAGACCACCATTGGAAACCTGAAAGCCCTTTAAGTCTATTTCGTCCTGGTATGGGACTTATCAACAGTGCGTATCCAGGACCTTCGATTACGTTGCTGTTGAGTTCGCGATCGCAAACAAGACCGAAGGTCCTGAGTTCGAATCATACAAGTTGCGGGAGTCATGGATGTGCACTGCTGAAGAGTTCCATACCCCGGACGAAATGGACTTTCAGTGCTTTCAGTTTTCTAATGCTGGTCTAATATTAATCGGTTCATGATTTCAAAAAGTAATTCAATTATCTGCACATTCTTTCATGCAAACTATCTATCTTAATCATAATATATATCACAGTTTTTTAAAAGTAAAAAATATATTGTCTTCAATACCATGCTGAATCAAAGTCAAATACATTTTTTTTGTTGTTAGTATTTTAATTTGAAATGGTCAAATTGTTGATTTACATATATTCGATATAATTTTGTACTTATATAGATTTGTACTATTAAAAATAATAATAATAATAACATCAGTTAACAAATTTATCTGTAATTTAGTACATGTGCCTATTTTTATTAATTTTTAATTGAATGTGTAAGAATTATGGAATAGAATAGTTTACGCTTTTATAATCTAATTGTTGAATAAATCTAATTTTGACAGTTAACCTTATGGCTATTGAACGAGATGAAAGAATTTGATAGTGTTTTACGTTTTCTACTCTGAAAAGGTTATACATATATATATATATATATATATATATATATATATATATATATATATATATATATATATATATGACTACCTGTAAGATATGAACTTGAACTGATCATCTTACGAACTTTCACAATTAGATATTGCTTAATGTTGTGGTGTTTCGTTCTCTGAGTTGTTTATTTGGGTTGTGGAGCTTTCATTGTTCTTCTTTTGAACAGCGTCGTCAGTACAAACTTCAGATAGGAGAAGTGAAGTATTCGAATTTCTCCACGTTTCACTTGTAGCTTGTTTTGTTAACCTCGATCTTGATTGGTTGTTGTTGACCTTAAAGGCTGTCGTTATTTGCACCTTTTTTTTCGATGGTATCTCACCACAACCATCATCCACCTGAGCTACAAATTTTCTCCACCATTGCTTACTGTAATAACATCTGATCAGTTCCCTCATCTCAAGAAACAGAAGAAGTATTCTCTTTAATAAACTGATGACCGAAATATTTGATAATTGAAAATATAGGACTGATAATAGCGTGTAGACTAAATAAGCGTTGGCGTTTATAAAAAAAAACTCACTTATGGACCTACAGTCTAGTGAAAAAAAGGAAGACATTTTTAGTCTTTGATAATGTCGGATTACTTCGATATGATAAATGTCTACCGAATCTGTCATTGTATCGTGTTATATCAAGTTTATGCTTTTCCTTAAGAATTAACACACTTTTAAAGTGAAAGGCAGGGAAGAAGTAAAGAACCACAATTTCCCTTCACTGGACTATAGAAAAAAGCCAAAAATGTACATCACCATGTATATTAACTAGTTCATAAGTTGAATGTTTTATTTAACATTTTTTTACCGTCATTTACAGTTTTACGTCATAACATTAATGATTTGTTCACACACACACACACACACATCAATAGCTTTACTTTCCTGTTACAGCTGACGTAATTCAGCGATTTTCATTTTGACTATTTTTTGAAAATCATTGATATCTAGGCAGCATCACTGACAAGCAAGGTGGATCTGATGTTGATGTTGTGAAGACGTAGATCGGTAAAGCAAGCATGGCATTTTTACAAGTGAACAACATCTGGAACTCAACCAACACTGAAGTCAAAATTTTCAATACGAATGTCAAGATAGTTCTACCAAGACGAAACAGCCGTCCAGTACTTGCAGGTTTCTAATGGTGGTCTAACAATGATTGATTGATTGATTGATTGATGATTTCAATGTGCAACCAACTCTAATCTCCATAACTCTAATTAAAAAATGACAGTTTTTCAATCATAGTATAAAATATAAACACACAATAAAACCTTAACTAAATCATGAAACTTTTTTTGATTTCATTCAATAACGTGAACTATTGTCAAATCAGTGATAGAAAGCAGGAAGCACTGAACGGTCGTTTCGTCTTGGAAAGGGATTCAGCACCAATTTGCATCCATGACTTCCGTTAATGGCAGGAGTCGAACCAAGGACCTTTGGTCTTTCGTGCGAACGCTTAATCTCCGCATCACTAAGCCGGCTTCAATTAGTTCAATGTATTGCGCAAACTTATGGTGGTCTTGTAGTGTGTCGATGTACTGTGTGTTCTTAAGCTAGGTAATTAGCTCATCTAGACAATCGTTACTAACTAGCGTCTGACAGTTTGTAAATCAGAAGGTGAACATAAAGTGTTGAATACGTTTATTTTTGACACATCACACGGAGAAGCAGCGAATAAGACGAATGGAGCGACGTGAATTGGAGAAGGCAGTTGAGCCAACTCCAAGAGATAGAGCATGACTAAGAATATATAGTCAGACAAAAATAAGACAGACATTTGACAAGCGAAACAGGGATTCAAACACATGAATAAAAGCGACGAATGGTTGACAAGGTCAAAAGCAAGCGAGACAAGTCATCTAAGTTTATAGGGATATTAAGAGATTAACACTAAAGCGAAAAGGATGAGTAAGCACGTGGGCGTAAGCAATGCTTAGTCGTACCAGCTCATAAAAATAAGACAATAAAAAATATCAATGGTCTACATATGAGTTGTTGCTATACGAATGGCTTGGTTACATAAGTTAATCGAAAAGACTTAATCAAATTAAATATGAGCGAACTCAAGTTTATGTGGAGGCACTACTGTCTAACAATTATCGATTCATGAAATCAACGAAAATTATCAATCTTCACAACTTCATAATCAAAATCATAAATATGTTAGGGAATTCTCGAAGTTCTTGTGAGAAGCCGTGAACAGTAGAGTTCAATTCTATTGGATATAATTGGCTACCTACCAAAGACAATGGGTGAGGTTACGCAATACCCTTGGACTGATTGAAGTTAGATACTAATAATGTTGTATGCTGGCTCATTGATCCAGAGATTAGGCATTCACATGCTGCAGGTAGCGGGAGTCATGAATGCACACTGCTGATGAGTTCCATACTAGGACAAAACAGCCGCCGTCCAGTGCTTCTTTAGGTTCCCTAATGCTGGTTGAACAATGATCGGTTTCAACGAAACTCAATGATATGCACAATTCTGTGCTGAAAATCATATTCAAC